GGGATGTGAAATATGGTTCAATGTGACGCGATATCGCAGCCGAACCAAGTTTTAACTGAATGATTCGCAGAATAAGGAACATTTCCCGCAGTTTCATCAATATTTTGGTCGCTTTGACAGCTTTTATCAATGAAAGATCCAGCACAAGCAATAATTTTTATGGTTTCTCCAACAACTGTGCGTTTTGTGAGAAAATCGATTTTTTCCTTTACACCAAATCAGCATTGTTCTCATTACGAATTTCGGTTAATTAAAATTGTTTCCGGTATTTTCTTTTGTTTTCATCGCATCGCATCCAAATTCTAGCGCCATTCAGAACTAGATCGAATCGTTGCAAAACTCACCAAAGTTTCACCGAAACAACACTCATAAAAGTAAATTCCAACGTTTTTAAAGCACACTCGTTTTGTAGAAAGTGTCTAATTCACGCAACAAGCTCGTTACAGATTTTCTGTATAAAAATAGCTGAGTACTGTTACTCAACGGTTGTTCTATACCGACACGAGATTGAGTCGGTGGCGTGGTCGCCTTGCTTCATTAGTTCATTAGTTAGTATTTTAATTTAAATATTTATTGCAGAAAACCACGCGAAGTAGCAATAAAATTTATAACGGCTTTTAAAATAATTGAGTACATCCTGGGCGATACAAGGAATTCAACTCGGCTCTCTCTCTCTTTTCTGAAGTAATTGAAAACAGACGCTAATCATGGCATAAAGGTACAGCTACTTCATTTGCACTCGAGAATTTCTAATTGTTTGCGAGCAACGCGTGCGAATTTGTTCCGCATTTTAAAAGGGTGTCATCAGTTCTGAGAATTTGGAGCAAGCGATAAGAAGAGGGATGAAATCTTTGATTGCATTTCAGACCATAATCGTCGAATCATATTTTATTCGAAAAAGTCGAATGAAATACTTCTTATTTGGAAAAAAAAGTGTCATTTCAAACGTCCAAACCGCACTACAAATCCTCTGATCAATGACACTCGCCATTCATATATGAGAGCTGCTTATCTGAATGAAAATCGTCATGTCGCTCAAATTCAGCGTTCCGAAATAAGCGTTACGAGTATTAAGTAATGTGATTAGTGTTTGATGTGTGCAAAGTTTTTGATAAATTATTTCATCTTGTTGTTTGGAGCGTGTTCGGTGTTTTTTTTTCGTGTGTGCTGTTTCCGCGTTCATGTTTCGGTTAATAGAGCATTTAAGTGCTAAGTGCCAATATTTAACTTGTACAAGGTTAAAGAAATATCGTTGTCAGCAGAGTTGTTGAGCCGTGCGAGAATTGTGGATGTTACTTTCGTAACCTCAGAGAAGAGCCGAGCTGAACCGGGCCACACCACCCAAAACTTGTGATTCATTTCTCAAACATGACCCACGAACAAACAAGTGAATGGAAAAAAGTGTGAGAGAGCGGTTTGGAAATGTCGACTGTGTGTTTGCATGTGGCCGCATGAGCATGTGTAACACACCAAATAAACGACTATTAAGTTCATATATTATCTTTTCCGTAGCCCCCTATTGTGATAAAGACAAATGATCTGCAATAAAGTGGATGTTTTCAACAAAGAAATTCATTTCTTTGCCACGTATTTTTTATGCATGTACAACATTGTGTTTTAGGCTGTGTGCTTCATCATTACGGATGAGAGAGAGAGAGAGAGAGAGAGAGAGAGCGAGAGTAGACGATAGACCCTAATGCTTGACATTCACCGTGAATTGCACTTGAAAATTTCGATGTTCTACACCGGAAAAATTTCCATTCAATGAATTAAATAAAGTATTTACTAGATATAAATGACGTTTATTTTAACTATTTCATTATCTCTCGCCATGAAGAAGGATGACTGTGTGTCGTTTTAACTCACATTTATTGTGGTAATTTTGCGAATGTAACATTTTATTTTTATACTCATTCTTATCACATGAACAGTGTTATTTATTCAATGCCGACGCACAATTTTTTTCCTCGTCACAATAATTTCGCACCATTTTTGTACTGTCATCAATGTAATCATTATTATGAACACATCTCACATTGTTGTTACACATGTTTGATGATGGCTGATGTATGCCTACATATATATACATTCAATGAATTTGAATGAATCACTTTACGATTGTGTGAGTATCACATAAAAATTTATGTTATCGTTGTTTTCTATAGGCTTTCATACGATTTACTCTCAACTTGTTGTTAGCGAATGTTTACCCTGTTCGAGGTTGAGATTCTTTTGCGGTTTTGTCGCTTTATTTCCTCCGCTTGGTCGCATTCATGCCAGGCAATTTAATCATGTACAAATTTATTTGTATCACTTTCTCCGTATGCATGTTTGCATTTTAATGAATCGTTTGGTTTTGCTGCCACGAGCCGGGATCATTTTGGCGATGCTGTACAGTACAGCCTGTACTACGGTTTCAAATCTCCTGGGCGCTTGTAAATGTCGTTATAACATTATTGGTGTGGCGTTTGATAATGCAATAAATAGTGCCTTTTTGGCGTTTGGCTGAAATGCCGATGCAACGAGAACGATGGTTATTGAATCAACAGGCTGCTCTTTTGAGCTGATTTGTGACCCCATCGACCAAATTATATACATCACACACTCATATCCAATATTTTATTGGCTTTATTTTATTATCGTTTAAGGGCTGTAGCGAAACGATGCCCATGAATTTCGGAAAGAAGCACGTATTTTCATTAGAAACATTTTCATTTATTTCACCCTGTGAGTGTCATCTTTTTTGCTTGTATTGGAAAATGAACCGTTTCATTCTCTCTGCACACAGAAATAAAATGTGGTAGGTTTGTGCTATCTATTGGTGACGAGTATAGTTACCACAAGTCTTAGAAAAGTTACCCCACGCACCAAAATATTACTATGCACAGCACACATGCATTTTTTGGTTGGAAAATTCTCGGAAAAGCGCTACTGTGGGAAATCGGGAAATCGGGGAAAGTTCAGACCAGTCTTAATCGATCGGGCGGAAAATTTCATGTGAGGTACCGACCCGAAGGGCGATTTTCAAGCGAAAAAACCATCCATTTCTGAGATAAATGAAAAAATTCTGAAATATCGACAAGTTTTTTTCATTTATCTCAGAAATGGATGGTTTTTCGCTTAAAAATCGCCCTTGGGGTCGGTACCTCACATGAAATTTTCCGCCCGATCGATTGAGACTGGTCTAAACTTTCCCCGATTTCCCGATTTCCCACAGTAGCGCTTTTACGAGAATTTTCCAAACAAAAATGCATGTGTGCTGTGCATAATAATATTTTGGTGCGTGGGGTAACTTTTCTAAGACTTGTGGTAACTATACTCGTCACCAATAGATAGCACAAACCTACCACATTTCATTTCTGTGTGTGTATCACTCTTGCATTGAGAGGTTTTCATTCGGCTTTAGAAAAGTCGGGAAAAAATTGTCGATTGTTTCCACAGTTAGTTCATTATAATCGTAACAAAACAAAAGCGGATGCACAAATGATTCTGATAGTTGAGATAATTTCAAAGGGAAGAGAAGATCATTATCGAAGAAACAAGATCATTTCAACATTTGATCACATCAAAAACTACATTTGTTCGGTGAGATTAGATGCGCCTTTTGTCTTACATATGTGTGAACAAGCGTTCAGGTGCTAAAAATGCACAAAGCGCAACAAAGAGAAGAAGAAGAAAACGGATCAAGTAATAAACAAAAATCAACAGTACAGTGTAAAAGATGGAATAGGAGAGAGAATAAAAATGACTGAACAAATGAAAAATGTGATCAAATTTATATTTCTTCTTGTGCTTTGTGCATCGTAAGGCAGCAGCGTATCACCGTCAAACCACAATACATAAAAAAAATGCACCGGACTCAGGAACATTCATATAATGTGCACAGTTGTTGTTGATGTAATGTTATTAATTTGATTGACTTCCATTCGGTGTTTTGATGTCGATTCTGTGTTGTTGTTTTTGAATATCGGCCGTACGCAATGCGCGCACTCGTTTCACCACGTTCAGCGATGAACAACGTTGCACAAAGAATCAAGCGAATTGCTTCAGCATCTCACCGATTTCACAACAAAAAAGCGATAAAAAAGGAAACACACACAGTATTCTGTCCGATTTCTGTGTAATGTATCGAAGTCAACTATAGACGTGAAAAAGAGACCGAAACACACAGAGAAAAAAAGGTTACTTTTGACAAATGAATGAAAATAACAGGGTAGCCGAACACAATTCGTCATTTTACTCGATTCTTCACATTTTCTTTCTCTCTCCTTTCCTCTTCAAAACAGAGTTCGTCTTGTTTTTTTTTGCGTTTTTCCATCGACCCGGTCAATTCACTTTGATGAACGCTATTTTGATGGGTTTGAAGGAAAACTTCTGCTGAATATAAATGAAGTTCAATCAATTTATTTTATTTTTGTTCGTCTTCATAATTTTGAAAATTGTTACAAATGATAGCAAATAACAGTTTGGTTGTTCGCTTTATGCATTGCCATAGCGTCGGCATCTGTTCACTCAACAACAGCACCAAATAGCCTACGATGGGAAGTGAAGAGACTTCAATCGTACGTAGAAAAAAAGAGAAAAGGCATTGAGTAGGGATTATCAAACGTTTGTTCGCCTTTTTGCGCCGATAAAATATGGGATTTCACCAATATTCAGGCTGCATTTTGACGAATGAAGATTTTTTTGAATTGAGCAGCCGATGTGTAAAAGTCTAATTGATCATCTCTAGACATTTGAATAATTCACGGCGCCAGCCGAACAATACGAAGGATTTTCGGATAAATCTATTTTATTAGAACCTTTAAACTCTTTTGACCTAATGCATTTAAACACTAGATTACAGCATTTTCTAATCGCGTAATTGATATCATTCACCGGAACATTTTTTTTTTCAGAAAAATATTCTTTCTCCGTTTGAATTCCAAATATTCTTTAATATTTTTTTTTTGCACAAATCTTGAAAAAGAAACAATTTATTTTTATTTCGTTTCACTAACCTTGTTGGCTGCCTTTTCTCGCGGTCTTCTTCTCTTTCATCCACGGGTATTCAGGTACGCTATCGCATTGATCACCTTGCATAGCGTTGTAGCCCTGATTGCCAATCATTTTCGGGCTATCCGGATCGAGATGGGTCATGAATTCCGCCATCGATGGTTGCGAATTAATGAATCCGCTTTCAGTCGGCGACATATTTGTCGGCCCATTTCCGTTGCCATTGTTACCGTTGTTCGGCATTGCATTCATCCAATAAGCCGTTGCATCGAGGCGCTTATCACAGTTATTCACTAATTTCGTTTGCATGGCTTGCTGTTGTAATGCGCTGATCTGTGACTCGGTCTTTATTTGCGATCCCAATTGGCTTGTGTCAAGCGAACTGCACACTTCTTGCATTTTATTACTTTGTTGATGCTATTATTGCTTTTGAAACTTGTCACAAACACTTGTATCTATCAAAAGTACCTAGAAACTGTTTGAAATTGCAAGAACCTCGAAAAAATCATCTCAAGTTTTCGAAATTTTCCTTTTTTTTGATAATTGATTGAAGAACGATAAATGATTCTTTGATCAGACAGTCTTTTTTCAAATTAGAATAAGTTTTTCCGAGTTAATTTTATTTTTGCACTTATCAATTGTCACCAACACATTCCTGAATTTTCAATGGAAATTTCATTTTTAAAAAAATCCCCACTTTTAATGTTCAATATTAAATTACATCAAATATTGAAAAAATAATAATAATAAAACCGCTTTAAAAAATTATATTTAACTTTTCCACATTTTTGTCATCAAAAACAATTGTTTGAGAAAATTAAATTCAAATCCTTTGAATTTTTCACGAATATTTTTCGGCTCAATTTAATTTCAAATTCAATCCTTTGAACAAGAAAAAAAAACCGATAAATCGTCGGAATAGAATATCCGACCGAAAGTGTCAAAGCTTGATGCACGGTACGATGTTCACTACAAACTGAGCGCTGTGCACTCGTTTCATTTGCACAATATCACCAACGAGACAAACACGTCAACAATGTAAAACGCCACAAGCTGAACAACTCATGCGAGCATCATTTCCATTTGCACACGCCACCGACTAAACAAACTTTCGAATATGTGTGTTTTTGTTGGCACGAAAAAGTTTTATAGTGGATAAATATTCGTTGGGTTGCTGTTGACGGCAATTGTTACGTTCCCATTTGCATGTTCCACTTCAATTCATGTGCGCGATAGCAGCCAGTCAGCCAGCCAGAGTAGCAGCAGCAGCAGCAGCGACGAACGACCGCAGTACAACTCGAATCGCCCGAGTTTACTTACAAATACACGTAACAACGGCAATGTGTTTCCTCCGTGATATTTTTACACACGATATGGTGAATAAATAGCGCGCGCACTCACAACAATATCATCATCATCTCTACACAGGCAATGAGCAGCGAGTGTATTCACGCAAACACCGACCGATACGACGGACCAATGAAGTAAACCGCGTCGAATGAGTTCGGGCAAAAACAACCGAAGCGATCAAGGAAATTTTCGAATGGAAAGACACACACACACAGAGAGAGAGCGAAGCAGAAAAAAATACAAACTAATAAGCAACAAAACAATGTCGACGACGCTGTCGATTCTCAATGTTCAGATGAATGGAGTTTGAGAGGAGGAAAAAAATAAAGTGAACGAAACGATGACATACAATCGAAACGACTATCGAAAAAGACATGAGCACACGATATTCCATTCAGACTGAGCACAGATCATCGAATAGTTTTTGTGGCGAAAGCAAAAAAAAGGGAGACACACACAACAACATCAACGACGATGACGGCGACGACCAAGAATTATAATAAATGGAAAATGAGAGAATAGATCCCGAGTCTTCACGAATCGTGAATGAAGGAATACAACGCCAGCAAAACCATTTTCGATTCTTTATCCATTGGATTTAATTCAGTTGTCGTTTTTTCTCTCCGTCTTCTTCTCTCTCTCTCTCTCTCTCTCTCTCTCTCTCTCTCTCTCTCTCTCTCTCTCTTGCTTAGCTTTTGTCCAAAACTCCTTTGAGTTTTTGGTGATTTGCTTCACAGTTTGGTTTGTTTATCGAATCTTGTTCCAAGTATATAACTTCACCGCTTCGATGTAGCGTCTTTTTTTTCTGGTGTAGTCTTCATCCATATGTGAACAATTTCTACAACAAATCTTGGTTTCTTTGTTTTACTTTCCTGGTTCTTTTTATTTTCTCGGTTGTTCTCTGGCTTGTTTTTTGTTTGGTTCGGTTTGTTGTGTTTATATTTTTTTTCTACTATTTTCTTTTGCTGGCTGTGTACGAACGAGTCGCTTTTTGTGAGTGTGTAACAGAGCGGGTATCACGTGACGACGACGATGACCAATAGGACGGATTTTCACTTGAATGCATAACGCTTGAGCCAAAAGCACACATGCTATAGACAATTGTTGGTCTTCATTGGAAGGCGTGTCGTAAATGGTCTATCGTAACACACTGGACCGCTACACGTTTGCCGCATGTGTTTTAAATACAAGTTTGCCACCAAACACTGCGTACTGTGAAAGACCGCGCGCATAAAATGGGCGGAGTCAAAAGTGTGGATACAAGCAGAAAGCGGAGATCGTTAGGTGTTATTGTGAAAAGTCTCCACAAAATCATTCACATTGAACCGATATTCGGCTTTACTTCGCTCAATACGAAACCGCTTTTACTGTCGTACTGACGTGCTGTGGTGTTTGTTGTTTCATTTGTTTTTGCACTTTGTTTCGAAGCACTTTTATAAGATTCTATTCAGATTTTACTGGCGTTTTGTACATTCACTGCACTTTACTCGGTGCATTCAGCAAACCAGTTTTATCAAACTTTATATAACGACGCTTGCATTTTTTGCAAATTAACTTGCACTTTGCACAAGAAGTTCCATGTGCCTGTTTAATATTCATCCCTTTCGAATACCGAGAAAAAAACATTCAATTATACATTGAACTAATTAAAAGACGCTCCGCAAGTTGCTTTAAATCCGGGTGAATCTTCGGATAAAATTCCCTAAATATCAACTCTGTTGAGCAACCGAAATTTCATTACCTCATTTTCAACCAAGTTTTTTTTTGGCAACCCAAATTCGAGGTGAATTATCACATAGAATATTGATATTGTACGTTTATTGTACACTTATTGCTCAATCATCCCTAGTTTATAAAACTGGTTGTTGGGCGATAAATAATTGATGAAAAATGTGTTATTTGCTTGGAAAATTTTCCCACTGAATGATAAGAGCAATGATGACAAAGTGCAGAACGAACCGGTCAAGCATTTTAGCAAATGACTAAGCGATTTACACACATAAAAGAATCACCGGCTTAAGCCGTGACAAAATCACATATAACATTTGCTGTGTGTGTCAGAAATGTGGCGGAACGAAATCAGCGTGTTATATGCTGGTCATTCTAGCGACGTGCCGAAGAAAAATGGAAAAGAAGAATGCGCTCTAATAACGTTTTTGTACCGGTAGCAGGAAGACGAGTTTGCTTGTGTAGTCCGTGTGGCAGTCTCCCTTTGATCTCGTAAAAAGTGTCGCACACAAAGAGTAATCGGTCGAAAAAAGCAACGAATTTATAACAATTTTGCTTCAATAAACTGTCAATAAAGCAAATAATAATGCCTATTACGAAAAAAAACCCTTTAGCCAAATCTCAACAGACTGCCAAACATGTACACGCTCTGTCGTTGGGAAAAAAGATTGAAATCAGGCGCTCGGGAGAAGAGGAGAAAAAACGTGAAAAGGGAAAATATTGACTAATATGTACATTACAATGTCAATGTATGAAGTGGAAAAGAGGCGAACAGCAAAAAACTGGGAAGTTTCCTTCCGTTCTTGGCATGCACAAAGGTCACTCTCAAGTTGTGTAATTCTTATAAGAATGTCCAGTCCACCCTCATTTCAAAAGACGTATAATGTCACACTCATGTATTTCGTTCCCATGCGATTTGCGGTCAACAGTTGTGCGGCACAAGAACAACATGACAGCTCCTTACACACTTCCACTCGCTCAGTTAAGTCGGTACGAAAATAGCTGCGTTTGCTTGCCACAAGAGACCATACAATGAATGAAATATAACTTTATAAAAACACTTGTTCGCATAATGCACTCTTTATCCTTGTGATGAACCGCTGAACGGATAACAAAGGCGAAAAGATTATGTATGTATGTTATGGTTGTGTGTTTACACACTAACAGAGGAAATATCAACTGGATGTAGAAGACCGGAGACTGACATTTTGTGCTGCGGTCACTCGGTTCATAAATCAACTATTTTGAACGGGGTCCTTTGCCAAGACAATGTCCAGTATTTGGTTCAAGTTTCATTATGTGGTCGCTTTTGGTTAACACCAAACTGGAATTGTCACTGAATCCAAATTGCTAGGACTTTGTGCTATCACACATTCTTGCAACTTTCTTTCCATTAAATTCACTTTGCTTGGAATTTGTTGGTTGCAATTGAAAAATTTACAATTTGCCTTGTTCTAAAACCCCATACCGATGTGTTTCGTAACATCATGGGACAGCATTCAAAACAAATAATGGCTCTGGTATGTGCACAATGTTGACCACAATGTTTGTCGCGTCTTAACGATAAACTTCTCTCGAAATGACCAAAATATGTAAAATTGTTAGCAAAGATGCAAAATTATGCCGAGACATCAGAACAGTCTTCAACTATATTGCATAAACCACAAGCGCATGTGTAACATATCACTGACCGAAGTTTTGGTTTTTTTGCCTCTCTGCTTTGCGAAACGTATCGAATGAATGGACGGAGAGAAGAAAAACTAATTATGAGCACATGGTTTTATACAAACGCAATAATTCTTTTGCGGTTAGATTTGGTCACTTGTTTACATTTAAAATGATTATCAAGCAAAATAGCCAAAGATTAATAGTACAGCAAACGGTAATTCAAACAAAAATACGACGTAGGCATATGTGTTGAATGCATATGGTGGCAGTTTTTTTTTCGTATGGCACGAATAAAAATGCGGCTAAGAAACAACAAGAAAATGCCATGTTACACAATTAAAAGCATTTGACTTTTTTTCTTTCATTGTGCCGTATCATGTGCTGCTCGCACACATGAGGTGTTTTGTGAATATTTTTGGCTCTTTTTTTCTAGCCCAATTCATTTAAAAACACTTATTGTCACACGTGCGCCCATCCATTTCTTTTCTTCTCGTTTCGTTATTTGCTCTTTTTTGTACACTTTTTAAACCCCCCTTTTGAAAAGAATACAAACAAAAAACAAAACGCTGTTGAAAATAACCACCGGTAATCCATTGTCTAATTACAAATTATGCAGACTTTGTCACTTTTTCATTCTCTCTTTCAATCGCTATCGGAATAAAAAGAGTGCAACGTTATCCATCTGAGTGAATCGCTCATTTACTACCATTTTTAATAAATGAAATGCAGATAAATCGATTTCCTTGACCTATTTGAAATTTAATATCTCAATCGAGAATGATTCAACACAACGATGGGGACGAGCGTAGTCGCGCTAGCGCTCGCGTTCCCTCTATCTAATGCGCATTTGGGGCGAATAAATATTGATTTTAATTTTATTCAACAGAAAATGAAGCTATTAATCGCAAGCATTCTACATTTCAAAGCATGCAGATTAATTTCCATTCTTTTTTAATAGATTGGCACCCATTTGAACTCATACCGCTCATTTGGCGATGAATTATGGAATTTCAATTAGAATGGAACAAAAAATACGGAAAAAATACTGCAAAGGGGCTTGAAGTAAAGTCTATTTTTACACGGTAAATAGAAGATCTTATTACAGTGCTCTAAAAGAGCAGAAACAAAAGAACATTGACGGGAGAAACTCATTTGGTCGACGGAGACATTGAATGGTCTTTGCTACACACACATAAAAAATTAAATCAATACATTCCAAAGGACAAATTGAATTTAGCAGCGTGTCAGTGCATTGGTATTTTGGAGAAAAAACAGTTTCGATATTTCTTCCTTCAGGATATTTAAACATGTAACCAATTGAAAAATGAGTAGCTATAAGAGATTTTTGACGAGA